TTCATTTATTTTTTCTAATTATACTGGTTTTGGTACTGGAGCTATTCCAAATAATTGTGGATTTACATTACAAAATCGTGGATGTAATTTTATTTTAGAAGAAAATCATCCAAATTGTATTAAAGGTGGTAAAAGACCATATCATACAATAATACCTTCAATGATTACTTATCATAATGGAGATTTATTAGCTTGTTATGGTGTTATGGGAGGATTTATGCAACCTCAAGGTCATTTACAAGTACTTATGAATATGTTACATTATAATATGAATGTTCAATCTGCACTTGATGCTCCTCGATTTTGTATTGGTCCATATATTCCTAATGGTATTGATGAATATGTTGAAAGTGAAGTATATTTAGAAGATGGAATTTCTCAACAAGTTTTAGAAAAACTTAAATCATTTGGACATAAAGTTAAATTAGTTAAAGGAGTTGATCGTTCAATGTTTGGTCGTGGTCAAATTATTGTTAAAGTACCTAATGATGATAATAGATTAGTTTGGGCAGCTGCTTCTGATCCAAGATCAGATGGATTTTCTATTGGTTATTAAGAAATTTTTATCAAATAACATTTTCCTTTTTCGAAATAATTTTAATTAATTTTCTTGATTAATAAAATATTTAATATAATTCGATTAAAAATGAATATACGAGAATATATTATTTTGTATTATATAAATACATTCACAACATTTTTATTTTAATCAATTCACCATTAAATATTCATATTATATATTGTTTGATTCAGATTTTCAAATAAAGATAATATATATATATACGTCTCTTTCGAAATATCGAATGAACTGAGAATGTTGAAAAACGATCTATTACCTTTGATAAACTATTTCAATTATTTAATATACACAATAAATCGATAATAGAGATAATGTCGCGAACATCGACGATTTACAAAAATAAAAACATTTTTAATTAATTATGAAAAAATATTTGATTGAGTGAAACTTTATAATAAGATTCAACAGGGGGAAAAGTGAGACTTTACTACAGTGAACGATGAGTGAAATACGGTATTTCATTCATCATTATTGAAGTAATGATGCCTCATTTTCTTTCTTTATTTCTTCCAATATGTATATTTATCTTCATTAGTTATTTTTAAAGATTTTCATTCAACTTAGTTATTGCATAATTGACGAAGATGTTTTATATATATATATATCTAACTAATTGAGTTTGAGATTGACGATCTGTTGTCGATGATGTTTTTTTTGTCTAATTAATTTTAATTTCGTTCTCTGTAATCATTTTCTTTGTTGTTATTTTTATTTCGAAATTCAGGAAACTCTAAATATTTGAAAAAAGAGACAGGGCAAGTTGTCTGACGTCGATTAAAGTATGAACATTGACCTGAATACCTAACAATTCATTTTTCTAAATGTATGAATAATTCTTAAGAAAATTTTTTCCGTTCTATATTAAGATAATTTATCGTTGAGGCGAATATGAAGATTTTATTTATTGAAACCGAGTAACAGAATGAAAACAAAAAACAAAAGTTGATTTCGATAATATTTAGTAAGATTGCTGTTTTTTAAGATTTAATGATTTGAAATAAACAAATGAAGATTCTAATTGAGAAAAATTCATTATAGAAAAGAAAATAATTTTCAAGAAAAATCCTATGATAATATGGATTTTTAAAATAAATCTTAACATATTTTATCATCTCTTTTATTTCTAAATAACATAAATAATAATTAATAATGAAATAAATATATAAATAAGCAAAAAAAATCTTTTATTTAGTTGACAATAATATATTTACTAGTTCTTTGTCTATAAAATAATAGTTATATAAAGATATATTTGACAATTAAATATGATAAGGATTCATTTCAATAATAAAATAATCATTTATAGATATTATTATTAACGATAATCAATTCAAAGAAAAGAATTTTAATTCATTAAAGATTATTCAACATATTGTCCATTAAGGGAGTCACTATATCAAGTGATCAAATAAAAATTTTTTCTTTTGCTCATTCAGCACATTCATATTTAAAACTATTGACCTCAATTATTCGAGCTTCCAATACTTTTCTTTTGAGAAAGTTAACCAAAATTGACTTTTGACGCTATCGTACCTTTTTAAAACACATTAATACTTGATGAAATCTATGCTGATTTATGTTTGAACAGATCATTGAAATCTATCGTGGTATATATTATAACGATAGAGAATTAAAAGGTCAACTAAATTATATACATAAATATGAATATAATGCAATGTTTACAAAGTTAAGTATTCGAAAGACAATATTAGTCAAAATTACTTATTTTTATTAGTCAAAAGAAAAAAAGAAACAATATATTCCCCTGTTGTATTCCATAGTCAAAAATAGTCAAACTGAATTTTACATAAGCTGTGTAGCTTTTTATTCTCTAGAAATTGTTAAACGAAAATTCTTTTCCTGTTCGAAATTAGTTTGTAGTCTCCAACAGCTGTTATATCAATGAAAACCGCTAAATATATTAATATTCTATTGGAAAATCATCAAAAATGAGAAGGTATAAGCTCTATTTTGCATTGACTACTTCTGACTATGAAATACAGTAGGGAAATATATTGTTTCTTTTTTTCTTTTGACTAATCAAAATAAGTTGGTTTTACTAATATTGCCTTTAGAAAAGTTAACTTGCTAAAACATTATATTACATTCATGTATATTATTTAGTTCACATTTTAATTCTCTGTCGTTATCATATATGCCATTATTATATTCAATGATCTGTTCAAAGGCAAATTAGATATTTTTCTATCTGAAGAATGTATGATACTGTCAAAAGTTGGTTTTCGCTAACTTTATCAAATGAAAAGTATTCGAAGCTAGAAATATTGAGATCAATAGTTTTAAACATGAATGCGTTGAATGAGCAAAAATAACTTTGAAAAAAAAAGAAAGAAAAATTTTTTCTCAACTGCCTCATATAGTTCGATTGATAGTGGATGATCTGATATTATGGAACTTCTTTCAATTGTTTTATATATAATAAATGATAAAATAACTTATATTTAACTATGAAAGAATACATAGATTATTCACTTTTGTAAACAATAAATTTAACTTGATAATAATATAATTATTTGTTCGTTTCTTGTTTATATACAATATATTATATTAATATTATTGTCTATATTCATTAGTTAATTTATCTATATTTAATATACGTATAAGATAAATAATAAATAAACTAAATAGAATTTTCATTTGAATAGTGACCAAAGTGCTTAAAGTGTAACTATCTAAGCTTTACTTGAAAATTCTTCGACAATGATAAGAATAAAAAAAAACTGATAGAAATCGTATTAATTAATTGAACTATTGTTGTTGAATATTTGATTAAAAACAAACAAACAAACAAGAAAAGAAAATAATTAAAATTGATTTTAATTTTCTTTTTATTGAAAATCCTTATTCTAATTGATTTTAAAATAACTAATTATTTTTATTATTATTCTAGATAAAGTAAGAGAATTAGTCAACATTTTAATTCTGTTATCTGTTATAATAAGCTTATTTTAAGTTGAATAATGATATATTATCTTTAAATAAATCTTATTATTAAATAAACGATTATCTTTGAAAGTATTTAAACATTTAACAAAAATAATTGATAAATATTCTAATATATTATTATCATTATAAATGAATAAGAAATTTTATTTAATAATATGAAAAATAATAATTATTTTTCTCTTATTTAATGTCAAAAACTAATATTTTATATATTAAGAAAATAATAAAACCTATTTAAAATAATTAATAAAAAAAATCTAATTCCTTTACATAATATATTATGATTAAATAATATCTTATTATTAAAATCTTCATATAGAACATTATTTTAATAAATCTTACTCTTATTGGTTAACTCGTCGTCGTCGTCGTCGTCTATCAATATTGAAATATTTATTAAAAAAATAAAAATAATAATTATTTTTCGTTTGACTCCAAATGAATATACTCAATAAAAAGCTCTTTACAGATTATTCGCTGGATATTCGAATGAGAATTCGTCTGAATAGATATACTTTTTTTCTTTTAAAAATCAATATTTGCTCTTTACATCATATATTCAATTTGAGTAATACTTTAATACCATTATCATTGTTGAATATAAAAACAAAAGAAAAAATCTCTCTTTTAAATATATAGATAGACTTTATTATAGAAGAACAAGTTTTTTATTTATTGTTTTCGCTTTTTAATGACGTTTATTGAAACACTTGACAATGATAAAACAATAACAAAAGAAAAACAAGTTTGATTAGTTTTTTTATAAACATGTTAACAATGAATAAATTATTTAAAATAAGTTAATTATTATATATTAAATATAATTATATTATCTATCCTACTATTTACAGTTTATATATATATTATTTATCTTTCGAAACACAAAAACAATAAATCGAAGAATTATTCTCTTGTTTTATGATTATTTATTTAAATTAATTTATTAAATATATCATAAGTGAATCATCATTGTGATATTTACTATTTTTATAATAGAGATAAGAGAATCAAAGAAATATTTATTGTTGTAAAAAAGAACTCTAATCTATTTAAATAGAAGAAAAAGAAAGAGAAAAGAATTTCTATAATAAATGAATGTTATATGTTATATGTCTAATGTTCTTATTCAAATAATAATGCGTCATTTGTGATTATCTTTAAAAAAAAAGAAAATATGCAAAGAGCATAAAAACCCGATGATAAAAGAGTTGTTAAAGATATTTGGTTGAAAATAAAAAGATTATTTTATTCGAAATAAAAATGAATGCAAATAGAAAATCGTCGGCAATAAATCTAAATTATAATCGGTAATTTATTGTTTTATTATTAACATTGATAAGATTGATTTTATTTCTCATATACATTTAATATATACAGATATTCAAAAAGAATTTCTTCAGAATATATTGAAAAAGAGAAATATTTTGAAAATAATTCAAAGAAATTCGAACATATGAATATTAAAGAAAATGATATCACTTATAGAACAGCTGCTGTTGAACAATGGCTTCAAGGTAATCAACATGATAAACATGTACAATTTTCACAAAATCTTACTTCAATTAATCAAACAAATAAATCAAACAAAACAGATCATACAAAACGAGCTTCACCTTATTTTAATAATCAAGTTTCTATTGATGAAAATAATAAACAAATTGATATATCAAATGATAAATTATTAAGAAAATCAAATTATTTATCAAATAATATTTATAATCATCAACCATTAATAAATGATTCAAGATTTTATCGTTCAACAAATAATGATAATTTATCTCAAACAACAATACCATTATCATCATCAACACCATTAACACGTTCACGTCAATCTTCATTTTCATCAAATACTCATTACGAACATGAACATGAACATCAACATCAACATCAACGTGAACGTGAACGTACTTCTTCAATAGGATCATCAATTGAATCATCACCTTCTCACATATTATCATCAGTTAATAAAGATCGTTTAAGTTCGCTTGAATTGAATAAATCATTATCAGAAATCGATCGAAAAAAATTCGATGATATTCGTCAATTAGTTCCTGATGAATTTGAAAATCTTGTTCCAACATTAATTAAATTAGGTGTTATTATAATACCTAAGAAATTTCTCGAAATAAATACGGAAGATATGTCTGGAAAAGATTTAATGGAACGTCATAGATTAATATCATTAATGAAACAATATGATGATAATATTAAACATAATGAATATATTGAAAATTTATATAAATCAATATCAAATAATGATATTATTAATAATAATAAATTATTAAGAGAAACTCTTTCATATAAAGGTCAATTAGCATTAATATTGACTTATAAAGATGAAATTGAATGTGAATTAAATAAAAAAATTCCACATTGGAAATTAATAACAATTGAAAATAATCAAACTAATTTATCGGAATATTCTTATTCAACAAATCGATCTTCTTTTATTTCAAATTCATTTCAAATAAGAAAAAAATCTCATCGAAATAGTTCATCTTCAATTAAATCAACTAAAGATTTATCATTAATTAATAATAAGAATTATTTATTAACTATTTCATTACCTGATCATATTGATAAACAATGGTTAAATAAATCAATTGTTCATTCAATTGAACAAGCTATGATTTTATTAGATAAAATTCGATCATTATCTTCAAATAATTTAACAAATATATCAAATAACGATTTATTTATTCAACAAAATATCTTTCACAAAGATCAAATTCAGTTTGTTAAAGCATTTAAACGATGGACATTATTATCTTCTATTCTTTATACATAATTTATTTTATTTAACTTTACTTCTTTATATCTATTATCATCAATATATCGATTTATTTTATCAAGTTTTCATTTTTTTTTCTCTTTTTTTGTTAAACTAATAAATCAATTGAATTTTATGAAAATAAATATTTATATTAAAAGATTAATAAACTCAATACTAAAGAATATTTTAACATATTTTGTTGAATTATATTGAAATATTTTATTTTAATGTTTTTTCTTTTTTTTGTTTGTTTATTTAAAATATGATTATCTATCTATAAAACATAATCAGATTAAGTTAAAATTAAATTAAATAACAATAAACATATATTAGGAAATTGTCAAATAAATAATCTCACTTTTTTATTATTCTCACTATTGATTTTAATTTAACAAATCAATAAAATTATAGACTTTAACAATAAATAAAAACTGTTTTATTATCAATTTTATTCATTGAATATGAACTTCTTCTAGCTATTGACGAGTAAACATTGAACTTTTTTTATTTTGTTCAAATTTTATTTTATTTTATTTTATTATTGAAGATTTATCTATTAAATAAGATTCTTATTCAGTTAATTATCGTTTTATTTTAAAATAATTGAAAATAAAAAACTCATTTTTGTTTAAATTTATATTATTGTTGATAAATATTTGAAAGAGATCTTAATATATGTCATAAATAATATAAAAATTGATCATAATATATTAGATTTATATCGATTTTATTATTGATAATAAAAAGATTTATTTTCGGTTAAATAGTTCAATTATTATTGGGAAACAAGTCAAGCCCTCCTCCTCGTGGTGTTTCCTGGGCAACGCTAACGGACCCCTGCAAAACTCTCATGATGAACACAACATATGAAAATCGTACCTCTCCCGGAAGTGGGATACGGGGGCCTGTCCCTGGAGCCAGGCCTGGGGACAGAGCTATGCGAGCGTCTGGTGGTCGATCGAGTATTGGGACCCGTAGATCGACCGGGTCAAACCTGAAAAGTTACGGGAACCACCAATAACCAAACACCATCAAGAAGCTAGCGATGGTCTCGCCAACCATTCTAGCACACATGAGGGGACGGCGCGATGCCTTAAGGGCACGTTCAGTACAAACAAACATCGCAAACGACAACAACACCATCAACACAAGATCAACATTGGTACATGGAATGTTACATCGCTAACTGGTAAGGAAATGGAAGTGGCTGAAGAAGCGCAAAAATATCATTTAGATATACTTGGCATTTCATCAACAAAAAGAAAAAGCAAAGGATCGTTAACTTTAAACAATGGGTGGCAACTATATTATTCTAGCGTTGACACAACAACTTATGCTCAAGCTGGGGTTGCAATACTTGTAAATCCACGACTAGCAGATTCAATCGTCGAATGGAAACCAATCAACGAAAGAGTAGCTCTCATACGACTTCAACTAAAAAGAACTACTCTAACGATCATCCAAATATATGCACCAAATAATGAAGCAGATTATTCAATATTCCTCGATATGGTCTTTACAACCATCGAAAGCGTACCGGTGACAGACTCTATATTACTTATTGGTGATTTCAACGCACATGTGGGAAATGACTCACAAACATGGAATGGTGTTATTGGACCAAATGGCGATAAAGATATCAATAATCAAGGTAGGCAATTATTAGATTTCTGCGCAAATAGCGGATTATCAATAATGAACACATTCTTTCAACACAAAAATATTCACAAATACATATGGTACAAAACTGGTGGTCCAATAACTCAGAGATCTCTGATTGATTTCGCCATCACATCGGATAATATCAAACGAAAAGTGATGGATGTATGAGTCAAACGAGGGGCTGAGCTATTGACTGACCATCACCTGGTTGTTTGCGTCTTACAGCTCTCACCGAATGCGCTCAAACAACGAACACAATCAAAGAAAGTGTTCAGAATAAAATGGGAAGCACTAGGTGACACAGAAACCAGACAAAAATTTGCAAACAAGGTGGAGCAAGGATATTCTCAATTACCAATCAACGAAGGGGATAGTGAATCGGAATGGCTCCTGTTCCGAACAGCTGTAATTGGTGCAGCAGCTGATACATGTGGCCTGAAACGACTTGGATTAGTAATGGACAAAAACGAACGGCATGGTGGACACAAGAAATTCGCAAGATTATAAACAAGAAGAAAACAGCGTACCGAACGTGGATGCAACAGCCAACATTACACAACTGGCACATGTACAAGCAAATCAGAGATGACGTGAAGAAAACGGTGGGTGAGGCAAAAGCAAAATCTTGGGAAAGCCTTGGATATCAAATGGAATCAAATTATCATTCAGCGACAAAGATGTTTTGGCAAACAATTCGACGATTACGCAAAGGTGGATTAAAACAAACGCGATCGGTGAAAAATATAAATGGTGAACTCTTAACACGCGAAGAAGATGTCCTCCATCGCTGGAAAGAATATTTTGCAGAATTATACAATCCGTCCAATAACTATGGCAACAATATAAATCACCAAATATCGGGTGATTCAAATGCCATTACAATGGGTGAAGTCTCATCTGCAATTAAATCACTAAAATCTGGTAAAGCGGCTGGAATCGATGAAATTAGACCAGAGATGCTGAAAGCACTTAACAATGGTGGAATACGCTGGCTAACTCGTATTTGTGCTGTAGTATGGAAAACTGGTGAAGCTCCGGCTGATTGGCAAACTGGTATTGTTATTCCAATCTTCAAAAAAGGTGATCAAAGAGAATGCTCTAACTACAGAGGAATCACTCTGTTGAGCCTTCCTGGTAAAGTCTTCGCTAGAATAATCGAACGAAGATGCCGGCAAATCGTCGAACCTCAAATTCAAGAGAATCAATGCGGCTTTCGTGCTGGAAGAAGTACAACTGACCAAATCTTTACATTACAACAAATAATCGAAAAATCTTGGGAATTCGCCAAACCAATCTACGCATTATTCGTAGATTTGGAAAAGGCATACGACCGAGTGCCACGTAATATACTTTGGAACGTATTAAAAGAATATGGTATTCAAGATCAACTATTATCAGCAATCCAATCCTTTTACAAAAACTGTCAAAGCTGTGTTCGAATAAATGGAAGCAAATCGGACTACTTTCAAGTACAAGTTGGTCTCCGTCAAGGATGCGTACTGTCTCCTTTATTATTCATCATTTTCATGGACAAAATATCTCGAACAAGTGCCAATCCAGCCTGTGCTCAAATTGGTGATGTCAAGGCGGATTCTCTCTTGTTTGCTGACGACATCGCGCGATTGGCGACATCAGAGAATAGTTTACAAGTGGCCCTCAATCAACTCGACAAGGTGTGCTTAGAATATGGAATGAAAATCAGCGTAAAGAAAATTGACTTAATGGTGATTTCAAGGGAAAACAAACAAACCAACCTCCATCTGAATAACAACCCATTGAATCAGGTAAAAAAATTCAAATATTTAGGGATGCAATTCTCAAACGATGGTAAGCAAGATGGTGAAATTGATCGAAGAATTGGTGCAGCAAGTGGTGTTCTACGCTCACTCTACCGCTCAGTTGTGACGAAAGCCGAACTGAGCAAAAAGACAAAAATCGCTATATTCAAATCGGTGTATCGACCTACCCTCATATATGGACATGAACATTAGGTGGTAACAGAAAAGCTGCGCTCTCGAATACAAGCAGCTGAAATGAGATTTCTCCGTAGAATATCTGGCTTAACACTACGAGACAAAATACGTAGCACAGATATTAGAGAATCTCTACAAATTGAACGGCTTCTTCAACATATTGAACGATCTCAACTACGATGGCTTGGACATATTATCAGAATGCAACACAATCGACTTCCATACCAAATATTCGAAGCAAAACCAATCGGAAAAAGACCAGTTGGACGACCACGAACAAGCTGGCGAAAATATATGGAAAAACTCAGCCTGGAACGTTTAAACCTCCAATGGCCTGAAGTACGACAAGCAGCAACAGATAGAATTCGATGGAAACAATTACTGAACGCGCTCACACCCCCGACCCGTAAGGATAAGGGTAAGAAAATGAATGAATGAATAGTTCAATTATTAAATATAAGAATTTGCAATTTGTTTTATATATTTATTTAAATTCTATTAACGTTTTATTGACAGTTTAAATGATTTAAAAGTGTTTTGAATTAATGACGTTCTTTATCAGGATTAATTTAAATAAAAACAAAAAACAATCATCATAGAAAATTTTTTTTTCATTTGATCAAATAATGAAATGTCAAAGAATTTTTTTTAGTCTTTTTTGATAAATAATTAAGATAAATAAATGTGATATTAATTTTGATAAAATTCATTTTAGATTGTTTTCTTCGATATAAACTATAATTACATCAATATTAACAAGAACAACATGTTTTTATTTTAAAAATTCTCACATCTCTTTTTAAACTTCACTTTTAATATGTTTAATAGATATGATTTCTCATAATAGAATAGAATCTCTAACATAACGACTGAAACTTCAATCGATTTTACATTGAATATATACAATTTTACAAAAAAAAACAATAAATTATTACTTTTCTCTTTAAACAAACGATACCAAAGACGAATATATAGAAATATTTGCTTTTTTCCCGATAAATTAATAACCAAAATTATCTTGATCATTGTCTTGTTTGATATGCGGAATATTTCTATATATGTGTATATGTATATATAATATCGTTAAATAGATCTTTTCAATCTATAAGAGATGATATAATAGTCAATTATTCGACAAATTCTTCCTTATTATATTAAATAAATATCATAGTAGATTCTTCAATATCTAGATACAGCAGCAATTAAAACTACCAAACTTTTTAAAATAACAATCAATCTCATTTTTGTTCATAGAAAATTTATTGTGTTTCCGTAATTGTTGAACTATTGAAGATGATAAAAAAAACATTTGAACATAGTCTATTATAGATTTTTTGTTCTAAACGATCAATTGATCATATTCAATTTGAAGATCTATCTTGCTTTTGTTTATCACTATTTATTGATCATATATATCAAACATTATATTGATATAAATCAAATAAAAATCAAGTTAAATTTATCGTGAATAATTGATATAATATGCATTCTACTATTGACTATTTCGAAAATCTCATCTGGTCTTTATTGGTAAAAACTAATATACTCAACAAAACAATTTATCAAATCAACAAATCAAATGACCTTTACTTTTATTTTTATCATCTTTATTGTTAAATTATTATTTATAAATGATGACATTTTACAATTCTACTATTGTCAATAAATAATAGCAAGATTTTCGAAAATCGTCTCCTGAAAAAATTTGAGAATTTTACAAAAAAAAAATCTAAATGTATTATAATGCTTCTATATGAAAATCGTATATAACTTTAAAATAGAATAACTCTGGTCATTTAAATCATATACAACTTATATTTGAATGATATTGACTAGTTTATTTCGAATGTTTTCACAAAGCAATAGAATAAGAGAACATTTTCAATATAAGAAACTCTTCATAGATCATTATTCAATATTTTAAAATAAAGAAAAAAAAAATAGAGAGACGAAAACGGCAAGATTTTATTAGAATAGTTGAGTAGGGAGGATTACAATAAGAATAGTTCAAAAAAGACAAAGAGGAAAAAAGAAAACACAAAAAAGATTATTCGTGTGACCTAAATCTTACATCGATCTCCTACTGATTACCTATTTCATATTTACCTTCAAATCCAATACATATCCCATAAATATTTATTAAGTCTTTGCCATTTCTTAAAGCATTATAATGCGTTTGATGTTTTTATTCTTATTTTTCCACTTTTGATATGATATGTTTAACTGGATGTGTTTCTACGAATAAATAATGTCATTAATATTGACTTGACTTTAAAGATATGAATGATATTTTATCTTAAACAAAGAAATATCTATTGTAAACTTATCAAATAAACAAAGATTGAGGTTAATGAATGGGTATGATTTAGAAAAAAGATTCGAACTGTATTGATCAAAGATTATAGTCGGATATATTACAGTAATATCGTTCAATAATAACATAATGATTTTCATTCAGCTTTTGTTTTCTTATTTTCTCATTTTTATTTAATCTTATGGATATTTTCGTCATTCAAATCTCTTTTGTCAAAACTCAAGTACACTTTTTAAAGATAAGAATTGGCTCAATTGTTTGACAATTACTGCTTTTTTTAGTTGACGCAACTATTAATTTATTTATTTGTTAATAATATGGTCAAGTTGCAGTTTACATATGTTCATTTAATTGAAAATGATGATTAACAACCAACGGTGAATTTCGTGTTTATGCTTTTGAAAATCTCTAATAATAAATTGTTATTAATTAGTGTCTAAGATCAATTATCTGTATCTTGTATATATTTGTTTGAATTCTCTTCTTTTATTTATAAATAGTTCTACCAGAATATTCTAAGTAATATTAAGTCAATAACAAGGTTTATCGATTATTTTATTTATTTTCGTCTTTATTGGAAATCGTGATCATAATATCCTAATCTTCCAATGATGATTTCTATGTATTATCTCTAATTGAATATATTTCTCCGTTGATATTAATAATAATATATCCAATGATAATATATTGTCATTAAATATAGACTGATGGTCTTCTAGTTCTAAAGTAGTTTCATCTATAATTTATTGTAGATATATAAATAATATGGACAATAACAAAAAAACAAAAGCTTTTAAAATAATAATTTAAATATTGAACTGTAGAATAGAGAAGTTGAATTTCGTTCGTCATTTATATTTGTCGAAAGAATTTAAATAATAAATATAAAAAGAGAAAATTTTTCAAATGTATTATATAATTATCTTTTTTCTTCTCGATATTCATTATCAAACTGTCTTTCATTAAGAATTCAATTTTCCTTTCATATTCACTTTATATTATTATTTATATCATTATTTCATTGTAATCACTTATCATTGATGACAAATTGATTTTTTTTTGTGCAAATATTTGACATATTAAATTAAATTGACAATAACACAAATAAAATGATATAAGAGAGTTAATCATATTTCTATTGAATAGAGTAATGGTTAAATATTCTATTATATTAATAAATAAATATTCATTTATACAAATCGAGATATATAAATTTAAACATAATAAATAAGTAAATATTCTAAACAATTTCTCTATGAAACAGTTTATCTTCATGTTTTATTTATTAAATATTTCTATTATATATTCAAAAATGAATTATTTATTTTGGATAGATTTCTTATTTAATTGAGTCCGTTCGATATTTCTTATATAAATCAATATTAAATAAGAATTATTTTCAAATTAAAATTTGTTTATATACGTACAAAATCATATTCAATAATTATCTGTATATGTATTAACATGAAATAAATCATCAAACGAGTATCTATTCAATCATTAAATAATAAAACTGAGTATAGATGTGTTGTTGTGGATTTATCAGTATCGTTGAAGTTAATATTGACATCAAAAACTATGGACTAATGTCATCGTTACGTTACATATAATAGATAATATAGTCTAATGGATATTTAATTATTATGATATTCGATGAACAATGATTAAATGGAATAGAAATCTCGAGCTTTTATTTTTCTATCAGTATATAGAAAACGAAGATTTATTAAATTATTCTATAAGAAATAGATAGAACTCCATAACTATTTTTGGTATGAACTAAGGAATGAATTCAATGAAAATATATTTTGTCAACATTGAACATATCAATTTCTATAGAATAGTTTGCTCAATAACTCTCTACAATATAAAAACTAAACAGTAATTTTCGATTTTTCACATATGACAAACAAAATATTTAAAATAAAATGAGAATCATTTTTAGTTTTTTTTCTTCTTCTAATAATCAATATTTAAATAATTAATATAAATAGAATAGAATGTTATTATTTAAATCAAAAGACAAGGACGAGCAGTAAAAATGATTTTTTTCAATCTGAATTATATTCTGAAAATCATTATTTTAAAGAGTTTTCTTTCTCTCTAAAACAAATCTTCTTGATCAGTTCATAAGGTCCATTAATTTCGATAAAAAATCTAAATATTTATATTGATCATCATGATACTATCTAATAGTTCTCTTATTTTAGAATATTATTCTTTTTTTATTTAGATTTAACAATTCAATTGATGCATTTATTTGTGTTTTTTTTTGCCAATATATATGATTGAAATAAAATCTAGATATAATATTCAATTAAATATTATTTATGTATAATAATTACATATTTTATTTTGTGTTAAAATCGATTCGATCAAATTTAATTTAATTGTAAATAAAATAAAGGTTTGAATGTAGCTTATATTGATTGAACTAAAGTTTATTGTTGATATCCACCTTCTAAGATGAATACTAATGGAATTTTTAATTCTTTTAATTTATTTCTCATTTTATTATATCCATTTGGTGTTAATTTAGCACATTATTCAGCTTCTCCTTCATCACCATCGAAACCAGCTGAAATCAATATTAATCAAGGATGATATTCAATTATATCAGGTAAAACTTTCCTATCAAATATGTTAAGATATTCTTCATCACCTGGTAACTTATTTCTATGAAAAAGATCAATTAGATGACAATTTGAAGGCGGACAAGTCGAATTTGAACTTTTCCAAATGCAGCATAAATATCAATGAGACGATATTTTTCTTGATCTTCATTTGAGATTTCTCCTAAAATTTGTTCAGTTCCTCCACTTCTATGTACATCCCAATCGAGAATAAGAACTCGATCTAGCTTAAGAATTCTAATAGCATATAGAGCACCTATTGATACACAATTTAAACCACAAAATGTTCCAACTTGATCAGTTGATGAATGATGAACAGCTGGACGAACAAAATCAAAAGCAATATCTATATTATCTCGAACAATTGATGAAATAAGATTAATTGTTGTACCAGCTGCTGTTCGACATGAAAAGGCAATAATTGGACCTATACTTTTAAAATTGTATCTTACATTAGCATATGAAAGTGTTCGCATTGATAATATATCATCGACTGTTTATCCACGTTCAACAGATAAAAATCCTGAAAGAAATCGTTCGGAATGAACAAGTAGAATTTCTTCATTATTAATAATTCGTCCTGATATAGATTTCCAACGTAATTTATGCTTCATCCAAAAATAGCTGTGTAAATTATCAATTATTGAAGTCAAACGATAAGGTTGTTCAATATGTTATTCTCCCCATCTATGAATAAACATTCTATCCAATGAAAATTGATCACAAGGATATATACCTATACAATATGATGATAATTCATACGGTGAATTTTCAAATAAAACTGATGATTCTTCGACATATTCATAATTCATGATAAAATCTATTCTCTTTATTTATCTTTAATTGAAATGAAAATAATTATTCTCTTACTTTTTCATCAATTTATTAAATAATTTCACAGATGTTACTAAAATAAATTAAATTAATTATTAATATAAGTTAAATCCTAGACTATACATTAACATTAACTTTTATGAAAATATTCTCAAATAGATGAGAAGTTTACGTTAAGATAAAAATTAAATCTTCTTATATTCACATTGATTTTTATTAATAGAATTAACCGAGAATTTAAAAATTAAATTTAAATTTTCTTGTAGAAATTTATTGAACATATCAACGGAACATGTTGCTATCAATTCATCTATATCAAACCAAAAACTAATCAATCCTATTTCATAATATCACTCATATATTTTTATTTTAAACTTAATATGCATTAGTGCATTAGATATTGACGTTATGTATTCTTTGATCATTTTCGATTGGGTTTTACAAATAATAATAAAAGTTAGTTTTGTTTTTCAATTAAATGCTTTCCGCCATAATATTCTCTTTAAAATAACATATCAAATATCAATATCAATATATTATCAACAACTCAATTTGACAATAAAAAATAATCAATTGATTTAATTAAATAAATATATACGAATTAATTCTGACAAATAATTATTTCAATCTCTATATGACAACTTGATTAAATAGATTCTATATTCTATCTATTAAACTAGATATGTTACACCGAAGATCTAAACAAAACTGCTTTTTGTTTTATTTTATGAAATAATAAAAAATCGTCAATATATTGATATTATTATATATAGATTCTCTTATTTACAACTAAACTAACATATATTATCGTTTATCGGAATATTTCATTAAATATTATTTGATATTAATTATTATATTTAACAAAAATAATTTATGAAATAATAGACGTTACCTTTAAACTCTAGGAATTTAATTGTATTATTATTATTATTTATTTGAAGAGATAAACTCTTTTTATTAGTGATCAATAAAAACAAAACAGAAAAAGACATTTTACGATAATTATATAATCGAAGATCTTCTTATTTATTCTTTGAGCATATATTGAATATTAGTTTTAATCGTTTATTAGTTTGACGCAAAATAATATTGAAAATATTATCTCTAATATTGAATATCGAACAATTCGATTATTGTCAATAAATTAAAATAAACTTTTACAATCAATTTATTGAAAAAATTAAATAATTATATTAAATATAATATACATATATGGATGTGTATGATGTTTTTATTTTAAAATAAAATGTGTTTTTTTGCATATATACATCAAGAATGGAGAATTTATTCAGTGTATACGAATTTGTCAATGAGAGTGATAATTTTATCTGAATATAATCAATATATTAAAGCTAGAATAGAAAACATATCATTGTTAAATATTACATTGTTAAATATAATCAAAAATTTATAATCGATTAGGATTTATTGAGATATATTTAAAAAGATAAAAGAGTGATGTTTATGTTTATGTTGTATTGAATAAAGGTATATGTTAATAAATCCGATGATATATATTGTCTGATCATATAATATAATAGTCGATTGAAAGTGACAAGATAATGAACATCGATCTATATTGTTCTTTATTTTTTCTCGATTAAAGTTATATAATATAGGTTATTATATATTGATATTATCTTACCAATAACAATATGATCAATATGAAATAAAAAAAAACAAATTTCTTTTTATGATTAATAAGAGTTTAGTGATGAAAAATCTGTTATATAGATAATATAATGAAATCATTTGAAAATCTTTTATCAAATAAAATCTATGAAGAAAATAAATATATTGAAGAAAATTCAATTAAATATAATGAAAATAATATATATTATCTTCCTTATTATTATAATGATATTGATAGAAATAAATGTGAAAATATTCTTCGATTAATTAATCGTCCAGGATGTTTTTTAATTCGTCAACATAATGATTATTATTTATCATCTTTAATTAAAACTCCTTATGTATTATCAATAATTAGTCCTTCATTAAATATATATCATTATATATTATATAGAATAAATAAACGTTTATTTATAAAACCATATTCAAATAAATATTATTATTCATTAAAACATATTGTTAAATATCATCAAGAAAAAGCTGGTTTATTACCTTGTACTTTAGTTGAATATCCAATACGGTTTTTCTTAAATAATGATAAATTGTCTTCATCTTTTTCATCATTATCTTCATTAACTATTCAAACAAATAAATTAATACGTCAACATATTATTGGTCACGGATATTTTAGTATTGTTTATAAAGGTTTTTTTATTTTTTTTTTTCTTTTTAAATTTATTTTCAAATAAAAATAAATCTAGGACTATATAATGGATATATTCCAGTTGCTATAAAAACATGTTCAATATCGTCGTCAGATTTATCAATAGTTGAATGTCAATCAAATATGTTATATGAAGCTAAAACAATGATCAATATCAATCATCCATATTTAGTTCATTTTTATGGTATATCCTTTTTTGATAATCAATTTTGTTTAGTCATTGAATATATACATAATGAATCTCTTCTTTTTTGGCTACAAAAACAACAACAACAAACATTTATTAAAAATAGTTTTCGTCGTCGTCTTGAACTATTTTCTTTTCAAATAATTGATGCTATGTCTTATCTTGAAACAAAATTAATTATTCATAGAGATTTAGCAGCAAGAAATTGTCTAATTAATGATAATAAAAATATAGTTAAAGTGAGCGATTTTGGCATGGATAGGTAGAAATAATAACAACTTTTTTTATTCATTTATTTATTCATTTATTTATTTGTTTTTGCCTTAAAGACAAATGTCATCATCATCATCATCATCAATGATCTATCAAGAAAAATATGATAAACCTTTTCCACTTCGTTGGTCTTCACCTGAAGTATTAATTAATAGAAAATACAGTTCAAAATCCGATGTTTGGTCTTATGGGATAGTTATTTGGGAAATATATTCTCTTGGTTAAATTCCTTATGGTGAAATAATATCTAATGATATTGTTGTTAAATTAATTAAATCTGCTCATATTCAAAATAAACCTCTTTTATCAGATGAATTAATATATAAACAAATAATATTACCATGTTGGACATATAAACCCAACGATCGACCTTCATTTTATTCTATTAAACAAACATTTAAGAATCTATTTCGAATTTGATTTAAATCTATTTTTTTTAATTGATTCATCATTAAATTTAAAAAAAAACTTAGCAAATATTAGTTGTACAGTTCGAATATTTTTTTTGTTTTCTAAATATGAATCTTTTATTTCATATTTAATTATAGAAATTGATTTAATAAATAAATAAAGATTATATTTAACAAAAGTAATTTATTATAAATTTTCAGTTGTGTAAACAAATAAAATCTAATAGGATTTATATTAAACTTAAATAAACAATGTTTATCGTCTATTAACAAAGATAAGAGTAGATGTCTAATTCGAGTTCGAATATAAATAGATGTATCGAAACAAAAAGCGCTAGCACCCATGTTAGTTTAGAAAAAAAACATTTTCGAATTATAATTAGAATTGCGAATCAGATAGGATAATCCTTGGATTATAGTGAAATATATATTTATTGGAATTATAAATCAAACCTTGATTTCCAATGACATAGCTCTGGAATACCTTTTTATAAATATATGTTGCAAGCGTATCGTCTAGGTAGAAAACTCTTCTTTTCCATCGTAGTTGAAATATTAGTTTTCATTTATATTTTTATTATCGCTACATTGCATTATAGTCTGAAAGTTAAGTTTTACTTTGCTGAGAAATATGTTTTCCACTGTTTTGAATTCAAAAGTAGGAACTAGTACCATGTCTGTTGTCGGAGTCTGACGTTCTACTCATTATGTCACATCTTTTGAGATTTTACGTGTTTAGTTCGTATAGTGCTGCCTTTATTATACTCATTTTTCGGTCGTCTTCATCAATATACCTAGTCAATACTAAGAGTGATATCGATCAATTGGTAGTGAAGCTGCTTTGTCACAAAGGATGTCCTGTCATCCTTTGTCCTCAAATAGTCGTGTATGTTGTGCTTTCATTTCGTCGTCGACATCGAACGAGTATGTGTTAGTGTTTGTTTCAAGATAAAGTGTGTGACTTCGTGTGTTCACGAAAATATGGCAACAGTCAGATGCCATCACAGAGAGACTCTACAACTCGCTGCTCTTCGGACCACCACGCGCCGAGAAGAAGATAAAGATGTGTCAACTAGTATGTCCAGTTAGATTTGACCGCATTCTAGTGATACCATATAGAGACATAAACCCGCGCCGAGACATAGACAGAGGTTTGTAGCCTTCGCTGTAGAATACTAAGTTGCTGAATCGGTTTTGGTGTTGCAGTGAATGGACGTAGGTCAGCGGACAACCGATATTTATAATTAATTCGTTCGCACCGTTCCACCGATTCATAAATTTTCAAGAAGTTAGTGGTCCCAGTTCAGTTAAGTATTATCAATGGCTACTGAAGGGAAACCGTTTCACATGTCTTTAGTCGAAGCTGTACCAGGACCAAATTGTGTTGTTAGTTATGATTCATCCTCGATCGCGAGGAATCTATGGAGCAGAACTTATTGTATGATTTGATGCGTATCGTAAGCAACCGTAGTCAGATGTCAGTCGCATCATCAGATAACCCTTATCTATGTTTGCGGAGACACTGATGCCAATATATGTTTAATTAATCCTATTCGAAGAGGGTCCAGCATTAGCAGACAGCTAGGTTGGAATTCTGGAGAGTTCTCCTTTTTGCGAATGTATACGAAGTTTGTTTATTTCTGCTTTAATTCTAATCCGAATAAAGCAAGTCAAGACTCATTCAAAGTATTATCATTGCAATTATAATTGAAACGTTTTTAAACTCAACTAACAGAGATGCCCCCTCTCATTTATAAATTTATAATTCGAATTATACTTCGAAATTTTTTTTTTACTCAATGAAGGAGCCGGGCTAATTTTTTCGTTTATTTTCGAATTCATTTTATGCAGTTGAAGTATCATTTATAATATAACTCGAATTAGGCAACTCATGTTTGAAGAAGATGATTATACGCGAGACTTTTCATTAACCATTTTTGATATAGGTAATCCATAAATCACTTGGCCACATCCTTTACGAATAAACTCGTATTTTATCTATTGGAAATAAGAATCTATGTTACGTAGAAATTCAAAAAATGAGAACGAATCACCAATTACTAGTGCGGAATGATCAGCCAGGCAGAGAATTGCAGGACAAGGCATTTTCACAGCCTACGATCTGTCTTGCGTTGTTTGGCACTGAAGAAAGATTGAAAGTTTCCATGTCGGTTTTTATACAGATTCGTTCATTTTTTTGTTGAAATATAGAGCAACAAATAACGCTCATATGTAGACTGGCTTAACTCTTTCTCGTAGAAGAGCTATTTCTCGACTATCAATAAATTATTTATTTAGGGTCAGTGTTGTGTGTTATTCATCTCTCATACACTCATACGTACATCTTCGAGGTAATTAAATGAATAAAACCCAGCTTATTTTTGGATCTTGTATTCTCAACTACTTTCGGTCAAGTTTTGCGGAAAATATTGGTAATTAATTAATTAAAAACGACTTCAGATTCAGATTTCCCGCCTTCTTTTACCTTTGATCAGATTGTGAAATAATTAGCCCTTTTTTTTTTGTTGCACCTTCATCAGTTATTTTTCTCTCACGTTGTTCTTCAATCAATCGGTGTAGTGTGAATGCACAAGCAGACAGTTTATTTTTGCTGTACTCTTCTCTACGAGAAAGAGAAAATTTTATTTCAAGGGATAACGAGACGTACTTTGACACTATAGAAAGTATTCTAAAACTACATGGAAGTAGCTTTATCAGTAGATCAAAGTAGATCAAATTGACTTGAAATAGAAAGTATTCCGTTTCCCTCTTGATTTATTATCAAATTTTACTGATAATGGAAGGTCGCGAACTGGTAGTTAAGAAGATTGTCCATATTAGGGTCAAATGAAAGCTCTTACCATTAAGCTAACAAATTTAAAATATTACGTCCTCATAGCGTACCTAAAGCAAGTTATTAAAATTTCAAGTATTGTAAGAACAATACATAGTGTTGTTCGGGCCATATAAAAGAGGGCTCTTGTGGAGAAAACCTTTTCCGATTCATTTTTATACCTACATTTCACATACCTTGAAATTTAAATAACTTGCTCTAGGTACGTTAATAGGCACGTAATATTTTAAATTTGTTAGTTTAACGGTAAGACCTTTCATTGTACCTAAATATGACCAACCTTCTTAACTAGCAGTTTGCGACCTTCTTTTGTGAGATGAACTGATTGTGTTTTTGTTATAATTTAATAGTAATTACCAATAATATGTTTAAACAACTCTTGTCTCAAATATTTTCTGATCAATGTCAATTAACTTCAATTCATCTTGATCTGACCAAATTCCGTTATGCTATTCATCAGTGTTTAAAATCATATCCATCTCACCTTCTGTTAAAAACAAGTTCTAATCAATTTCAATCTTATTGTGTAAGTTTACATCGTTTGCACATTCAACTCGAATATACTTTAGAGACCTTCATGACTATTCCGTCGTGATTAAAAAAATCAAAAATTCTTCGATAATAATTTCCACAGTGGATATGAAAAAATAATTTTGTTTGATGTTTTCTACTCAGAAATTTAAGCTCTTCAAAATGACACAAAAAAGTCGAGAATATAATGATCTACGAGAGAGAAAACTGCGGCACATTCGTCGTGCTCAGTTTTGGTCACGATGAATGTGAAAAACTTTGACACTATTATTAAAATATTGATGTGAATAGTTCATATATATTATCATGCTTCTACATCAATATCGTACATAACTTCAATATTGACTAACTCTGGCCAAGTAACTCATGGACAGCTCCTATTTATAATTTACTAGTTTATTTCGGATATTTTCAAAAAGCAATAGAAAAAGTTCTATTGTAAGATATAGAAAAGCAAAACGTTTTCAGTATGAGAGGTTTCATAATTGAAATATCTTTTTTTGTGTACAGCGACTTGAGAATACTCTTTCTTCTGCAGCATAGACTATTTTAAAATTAAGAAAAAAAGAGAGACGAAAATGGTAAGATCTTTTTAGAATAGTTGAACAGTCACGATTACAAGAAGAATACTTCAGTAAATGGTAAATTAGGAGATTAGGAAAAAAAAGAAGAAAAGAAACATTATTCGTGTTCCATGCCACCGTATATTGTTTCATGTATTTCTTCATTTCATTTATCTATTGAAAAATTCTTTCTTGTCCTCCTGTCTGCTACAGATCGTTGATATCCTTCGGAACCGCGCAGTAGGCCTCACCGTTTATATTATTTATCAGTTTCTTCCGTCACGTTAAACTTGTACCGACGTACGCGTACCTTTCACAGTTGTTGATAGTCACATTAATATGAGCCTCTTTTCTTTTTGACTCATAGTTCACTCACAAGCAGAAATAATAACCTACTGCATTCTTCAAATCCGATAAATATGCCACAAGCATTTGCAAAGTCTTTTGCAGTTCTTAAGGCATTAATGCGTTTGATATTGTCCTTTTTCCACTTTTCAAATGACATGTTCAACTGAATGTTTTCGAAGAATTGATTATGCCATTAAGATTTATTCGACTTTAACGACGAATGGTCTTTTATCTGGAAAAATAAACTGTAAGTATCATATTGTTAGCTACATCTCCATATAATGACATAGACAGATATTTAGCACTCGGAGGCTCAGCTACTCTGTTTGATCTAAGAAAAGACACAAAATAATAATAGTGAGCAATCTCCGAAAATGACTTATCTTATCTATTACGAGTTTTTCAGATGAACAAAGATTGAGGTTGAGAAACATATCATGTAAATGTTAGTAGTAATCCCATCATTTACAAAAATATGAGAATCATATTGATAAAAGATGGTAGCATAAATATATGCCACTAATATTGTTGCATAATAAACCAATGTTTTCAATGTTGATTATTATTGTAATTCAACTTTATTTGCCTTATCTGGTATTTTTTCTTTAGCCTTATATGTATTTTGATCATTCAAATAAATATAGACTATGTTAATTGAGTTTTTTTTTCTTTTCTTGCAACTCTTCTATAGAAACTCGAGCACACATGATTAAGATTGGAGATTGCAGAATTGTTTGATAACGACTGTTATTATAATTAACGGAAATATCAACTATTTTATTTCTTAATAACATCGTCAAGTTCCAATTGACATGTGTGCACTTAATTGAAAGTCAGAATTAACGATGAAGTTGGATTTGGTCAATATGTTGTCGAAAACATTTTCTAGCAATCTTTAAAAATTTCTATATAAGATCAATTATCTTTAGCTATAGACTTGAATCATAAATTGGATGAGAAGATTCTAAATAATATAAAGTCTATGACAAGGTTCATGAAATAATCTATTTGTGATCGCGCTCATCAAAAAGATTGATGACAGTATCGTTATCTTCTAATAATGGTCTATATGGTCTAAGTGTGATTGGATCTTCTTCTCCATTAATATTAATACTCATAGCTATACCCATACCATACTGACGCTCTCTATAGGGCAAGAGTCTCCTATTTCTGAAGTTGTTTCCTCTATAATGAATTGTATAAATGTAGATATATGAAACAAAAAGCTTGTAAAATAATAATTTAAATATTGAAGTGTATAATAGGTAAGTTGTTTTTCTGACTAAGAATATATGTGTATATATATAAGTGAATAATGAATTTGAATATGTGAAATAATATATTATTTAGTGAAAACAAGTTTGAATGTTTGCAAGCATTTTCGAAGGTTAGTTGAATATTTAAAATAGAAAAAAAACCTTTGTGAAGTGTATTTCATTTTGATTGTCGACTATCTCTCATAACATAAATTACTAACTTCCTTAACATGGAAATGTTTCATTGAAATGAATAAAAGAGTTTATTTTCAACATTGATATTTGTCGAGAGAATTTTAATAAGAAAATATAAAAAAAAAAAAAATCTTTGAAATATTTAATATTATTCTCTTTTTCCCAACACTTATTATAATCTGTGTCTCATTGAGTAGATATTTTCATTTCATATTCACTTTATCTTATACTTTATTTCAGTTTTTGTATACTACTATTTCTTATTGATGACAAACTGTTTTGTCAAAGATTTCACATATTTATTAAATTCACAAGAACACAAAAAAAAGCCACATATAGACTTAATCTCATTAATATTCAATAGAGTAATGGTTAAACCTTCTATCATATAAATAGATATTGTATCCACACAAACACAAATATATCAATTTTCGATTCACATTGAATAGAGTTTTACGACAATCATTATTCAACATCAAAGATAAATTTATGTTTTATGCATTCTATTTCGCATGATTTTCTCTATTAGATGGTTTATCTTCAATATGAATTCATAGAATATTTTCACATTGAAAAATAAATTATTTATTTTATATTGATTTATTATTTTATTAAGTCAGTTCTATCTGTTTTAGATAAATTAGCATTAAATAATAGTTATTTTAAATTAACTTTGTTAAAATTACACAATTAGATAAGATATATTATCACAGAATTTCATTTGATAATGGATAAATATGTGTCGATTTATTCATGCCAAATAAATCATCAAACGGGTATGTATTCAATCCAGAGTTGGAATCAGACAATTTTTTTCTGTTCGGTCCGGTCCGGCTAGCAACCGATCGGACGAATTCTACAGCCGAACTGGAAAAAATCCGGCGAAATTAACCGACCATAAAAGTATTTGTTCACATAAAATGTTGACGAAGGGAAACTGAATATTCACATGCAGAAATTCGAACTATGATGATCAATTTACATTTACGAAAAATTTATAAATCCAAAAATAAATTTTAAAAATTTTTATTTATTTTGAATTTAAATTAATGTAAATCATATTTTAAATTATAATAAATTAACAGCAAATCGTCACCCCTAATCCGAAATGGAAACTAAAATTTCGGAATCAAACTCTTTCCTTCATATTTTATAGCGCAAGGTACGTCGACTTTTCGAGCCCAATTATCAATATAAATTAGCTATTTAGATCAAATCTGTTTTTCACCTTTTATTTCGAAAACGAAAAAAAAAAAACAAGTTGATAACAAATCTAACACAAATATATAAATATGTATTTTTCTTGATTCAGACAGCTATCGAAATACAACAAGAGAATACATTAGTTGATCAAGGTTAATTTGAGCGATAGACGAGAAAGAAATTGATAGAGATATAAAGAGAACAATCAATCGTCTATAATACAACTCGAAGACAAGATATCTATTGAGTCTTTCTCAACCACATTCTTCTAACTTGAACAATATCATTAAAAAAATCGTTTTCAATAGAGAAAATTCGGCGATTCAAACAACACTTTTGTAATGATGAACTGACAAAAATCTGGTTCTGTCCGGTTCGATCGGACCAATTCCAACTCTGATTCAATCAGTAAATACTCACACTGACTCGAATTATTGATCAGACAGATTTAATTTCAATTTTTTCCATAATTATAAATCGAATAAAGAATTTAAAGAATGATTTTGATAGAAAAATGTTTTTCTAAAACGAATTTGAGTAAAATAAAATGTTCACTGTAATCCACAAACCCAATGTCGCTAGAAAATACAAAAACTAGTTAGTCACTTGTCAAAATCCAAAAATGAAATGCATATGATCTGTCAAAGACATTTTCAATATTAAGAGAGTCTCAAAGGCCTTTGGTATGACTTTAAAGAAAATGGCACAAAAGCGATTTTTGCCCCTTTTTATTATTAATACGAATGTAGTTAAGTCAAAAAATATGTTTGCAATGACAGATAGAACTCATTTTCAACAGAATTAGTTACTTAAGAACTCTGTGAAATAAAAACAAAACTTTCATTTTCGATTTTTGAGTACTGACAAACGAAGTTTTGCATTTTCCAGAGACTTTTAATATTAAGTAAATCGAGTAAGAATTATATTTTCATTAAATCCTTGTTGAAAGTAAAATTTCTTATCAAAATCACTATTTTGATACTTCATGTAAGATTACATATAAATACAATAAGTCGAATTATTTTTCTTTTTTTCTTAAAATGCCATTTAAGTATATCGAAATGACTTTGATAAATAGTCTATATATAATTATTTAACATAGAAACTATTCCGAGCATATATTTATTGATCAATGTTTACAATATGCATAAATTATCAATAAGGTTATCATTAGTTTTTTAACTTGAAATTTTACTTAAAAAAATCGTTTTATTTTCAAGTTAATATTATTGAATTAATAAAATTCAAGTTTTATTTATTTGATTTTGTTTAGAAAGGCAAAGTTGGATGTATGATATAGAAAATTGACCAGACTTTGATTATATGATGGATGAAGTTAAACAATGGAGTGATGAAAATAATAAATATTTAATTAGTCATACAATAATACATAATCTTCTACTTATGGGGAAAACTCGAACAGGAAAAACAACAATTGCTAAAGTACTCGAAAAGCCTTATTATGTTCCACCTGATCCAAATATTCATTCCGAAACACAACAAGTTACTATTCATCCTGTTGCAATAACATCAATTCATAATAATATTATTTATTGTTTTAATATAATTGATACACCTGGAATGTTTGATAAAGTTAGAAAACGAAATAAACCATTAACAAATGAACGAATAAAAAGAGCTATTAACAAATGTATGGAAGAAGATGTTACAAATATACATTTATTTGCTTTTGTTATTAGTTTACAAACAAATGTTGATATGGAAGATATTGATTCGATGATATTTGTTAGAGAAAATTATACTTTTTTACATGAATTTATTTGTTTAATTGTAACACATTGTGAAGAAACAAATTGGCAACAAAGAGAAGAGAAAATAAATGAATTTTTTCAATCTGAACAAGTTGCTAAACATCATTTGAAAGATTTTTTTGGAAAAAAAATATTCTTTATGGGTTCATTACGTCCAGAATTAACAACTCATCCAAATAAACAATCTGTTCGTCAACAAATTAAAAATGTTCATGAAATGCGTGACATTTTTATTGATTATATCATTCATTTAGATACTAATCATGCTTTTAATATTCATCATGTTCCTATGTATAATACTTGTCATCTTTTATAATTAACTTTTTATTTAACTTTAACATTCATATTTGTGTATTTACTTTGTTTTTTTCAATACATCTCATTCAAATAATATATTCTATTAAAACAACACTAATCTTATTTCATTTAGAATCGGAACAAACAAATTTTATTTCGAAAATTAACAAATTGATATTCGAAAAAAAGTAAAATAATCATCAACTGACACTTTCTCAAATACAAGTCAAATGTAATTGAAATCTTGAGAAAAAAATTATATCGAAAAGTATATTCTTTAATCATTGCTTTATTAAATATTTTCTCTTTTTTACGCTTATCAATTACCACTTCATGATGATTCATCTTTCAAGACATTTATTTCTTAGATGTCTTGCATTAAAATCTAAAAAATTAATAATTCAAACACAAGAAAAATCCAATATAGATACAATATTATATTTAATATGAATTGTGAATAGTAATAACATTTTAAATTTCGTTTCAAAACAGGTTAGATCAGATAGTAATGAACAATTAAAAAAAATTTAGTTTCACTTATAGTTTAAGATCAATGTCATTTAGATATGACTATGTAGAGTTTCGAAGGGTGTGGGGTGGGGATGGGGGTGTGGGTGAGTGTGAGTGTGAGGTATCGGGTGGGAGTGGGAGTGGAGTGTGCGGTATGGGTGGGTGCGGATGTGTATGTGGGTGCCAGTAATGGGATCGGCTCGTGTTTTTTGGAACCAAACCGAACCGATAAAAAAAGTAAGAAAAAAAGCTTATCAGTTTCCAATCTTTTTTCAGAATATTCACTTACAACAATTTATTGAAGACACGCCTATAATGCTTTCGACAGTACTAAGAGTGACCTAAAAAAACGAGCTGCATACAATGTTAGAAGCATAGGTATTTTCGTTTTTATGTTAGAAATATTTTCCCATCGGAAAAACTTGTTTCAACTAGCAGGTTATGATTCTTTGCAGGACGTTCTGTGAAAATGTCATATAGCGTAGGTTTTGAGAAATAATTTATATATGTCATAATTTATAGTCATTACTCTGCATTTTTCTAGTTTATGATTTCGAAGTGATAGGGCACTTAAAAACACTAAAACTAATGATGGTGGGAAGCACATCTATTCAAAAAGAAAGTGTTGCTCTTCAAAATATAACGATTTCATCAAAAGTGTAAATTTCATTTCGTCTTTTACAGTTTGAAAAGTAATAACCACTATGACTGACTAAACTTAAAAGGTCTGAAAATCTCAGTAAAGCTATCCATTTTAAGACATTAATTAGATAGCTTTTTCTAACTTTATTGCCGTCTGCTAAAGATTATTTTGAAGTTCAAAACAAAGCGACGTTTAATTAATGCATTAAAGACCAGTACAAATTGATAATCAATTAATATTTACTTATATATATGGGTGTGACCAACGGTAGCGTACCTCATAGGAAACAATATTAGTCCAGGGAGAAGTATATAATGAATTTTATACCAAATGAAAGCTTGTCAAAAATGAGGGTGTTGGTGTGTGTGGAGGAAAGGAAGATCTAGGTCCCACACCCACACCTACCCACACCTACACCCCACACTCAGCCACACACAACCACGCTCTCACCCACATCCACACCCACACCCACCCTTTAACCAACGAAATTTTGAGACTTAAAATTGTGGCCCATTTTAATGATTTAACTTAAAAAACCAATGAAATTGACTTTAGTAGTTTTTTAATTTCGATTTAATGTTCGTAAATGCGAAGAGACGAGTCGTTTTACTCGTTCTTTGCTCACTTTGGAGTTTTTAAAAAAACATTTCTTTTTGAAAAAAGTGTCAATAGTTGTTATAGCATGCTTCTTTTTCTGATTAAATTCAAGCAATTGCATTTTTTGCTTCTTAACATCTTCTGCCATGCAGAAGATCTCTCGACAGAAAAAAGAAAAAAGAGAAAAAAAAATCATTTCAGGTCACCATTGATGCTCGAAAAAGAAAGCAACCGTGGTGAATTTAACATAATCTATAATTAATAATACAATCACTTGATTATATTGATATCTTCTATTATTTTGATTACCAATGAGTCGTATAAGAGTATATGACAATAATGTATGAAAAATAAAATCTAATATATATAAAACTTTTATTTTCTTTTTTTTGTGATTGTTTGAACTTATTAAAAATGAATTAAAACCTTAGTAAAAGTAATTGTGAAAATGTATTAAATGACTTTTATTTCATTTAAAAATTTTTATTAAATAAAATTATTTCTTTTGAAAGATTTTATAAAAAAGATAAACAAAACATGTTCTAATTACTTATAGTTTTTGTTTGAAAAAAGAAAACGAGAAAGTTTTTTTTGAATTTAAAAACGTTTCTTTAATATTTATTCACTTTTTTTGTTTTATTTCTTTAAGTTCGACCAAACATTGAATCTGGAAAATTATATGGAAATTTAATGTAACAATGGAGGCGAACTCTACGTACAGCTGAATCTATCAGTATGATATTCGCTTATATTTATTCTTAGAAGAATAAAATAAAATTTAATAAAAATAATTGTTATTTAGAATAATATGTTATTCTTTTTGAACAAGATCTATGTCAATTAGTCGAAAAATTAAAAGAATTTGTTTATCTTGATATTTATTGCAATATTGATTATGATGTTTAACCTTATCATTTAATCGTTAAAAAACGTTTTCCAAATAGTCGAATTTATATTCAAATATCAAGATTTTCACTTTGGATTTAATTATTATCTATAATATTATATTATATTATTATATGATAAAGAAAATTATTATAATTCTCTTTTTTTGTTTCTTTAATGATTAATTTCATCAAGACTTTTTGTTTTTCTTTTTTAAAAAAAATAAAAAATAAAAACAAAATTCATATTCATTCAATAAAAAGACTTTCTCTGAATAAATTTCATATATATAACAGAATCTTTAATCAATAATTATATTAATAACTTTTCTTTGATTCGTTTGGTTTATTCTTCAAACATCACAAAAAAATACCTAAAAGAAAATAATTAAATATATGTCGATTCGATCTTAATTGATATTTGAATATCTGTGTCGAAACAGTCAGCAAAGAGAAAAGTTTTTAACTTATTTAATCTGAAAAATTGACGAATCTTTTAGAAAATAAATCAATAATTAGAAAAAACAACAGATAAAGCTTTATTCGAATACCATTTTCTCTTTTGTCTTCTTTAATATATGGGTTATTTGCAATATATTCTTACCATTGGTCAAAAAAAAAGACTAAAAAAAAATGTTTCAAATTAAAATGTTTTGACCCACTGAGATTACTGAGAAAAATAATGATTCGTGAGTTAATCAGACCAACAAAAATGTGAACAGGTTACATAAAATTCTTTGAGTTTTCTCCTTACGGAAAGGTCTAATTCTTGATGTATGACTTAAAAACAAGTATATAAACATGAATGGATATCAATAGAACGGATACATCTTCGAGGGTTTACAAAAATTATTCATTTAGGAAATATACATATCTGAGTATGCTAATCCTGGTTTTAAGCTATTCTTCAAATCGAACTGGTTTATATTAGGGATAGTAAATACTTCGATCGATAGCGCCTTCAAAGAGGAATCGATTGATGTAAACTGAGTCCAACTTTAATTTCGATTTGATATAGATATTGCCAGAAAAATGTCGCGGGATATTTTGGCATCAATATATAATTTTGCTCTGAATTATTCATCATAGCGAGCTGATTGTTTAATCACAGGTAGTCCGCATACGTTGAAAAAAACGAGTAAAGTTTGGTTCCAAAAGATTGAGATGTGGTAGAGTTATAAGAAAATCAAAAATGAAAATCTCACGGGACATTTATCCCTTCCAGGACGGAATTTTTTTTTTCATCAAAAATTGGTTCTTTTTATCAGTTTATTGAATCTGACTCAAAATTTTTCCATAAAAATTTTATGGTATTCAAAGAAATAATTTTTCTCGCCTGTTACGCAAAAAGCCAGTTTGCAAGTAGAGCATTCGATAGTTGATCGAACTTGCACTTCTTTTGTGGTACAATAAGCGCATCTCCTCCAGGTTCCCTTGACAGGCAAGAGCATCCTACCATACAACTGATCAGCAGATAGTGGTGATGCTAATTTATGCTTCTTGTTTGAAGGAGGTCGTCCAAGATTTCTTTGCTCAGCGTCAGAACATAGAGACTTAGCCACGGAAACCAAATAATTCAAATATGATAATTTATTCTGACCTAATTGATTGTAGAAGATAAATGAATTAGCTAAAGATGCATTGAAGAAGAAAATAAAAAGCGTAAGTCAGTTCCTTCTAGACTTCGATCAAAGGTGTATCAGGATATTATTTCATTGAATCGATCAACTCCATGTATAAACTTGTTGTAATTCTTTATTGCTTTCGGACAGTTAATTTCAATGAACTGTTTATTTTTCAACTGTCGAGAGATTCTAATGATTTCAGTGTTTTCACAGTCGTTTGACGGTAGAAAGACACTGTTTCGTATCCATCCATTTGAAGATAATAGTGTTGGATATGACAATTGACTTGTGGTCACCTCGTTCCATTTTCTCTTTCATAGCAAAATGTGGTGGAATACCAACCCGATCAGCCTGAATAGTTCCCGTGGCACTTATTCTCTGCAGCTTTAGCTTCTCGAATAACGGAAGTGAAGTAAAAAAATTATCGAAGTACAAATGTTTTCCTTCGAAATGATGGTCAGCAATAACAGTGAAAACAACACGTTCAGTCAAAAGTGTTTCTTTTTCACTAGTTTCTTCTTTTGGTAAATTCTACAGTTGAATAAGTAACCAGTAATGGAATCGCATAAACACCAAAGTTTATAGTCTCTCTTTATTAGTTTTGAAGGCACGTATTGCTTGAGACTTGACCTTCCCTTGGATTTGACCATAGTTTCGTCGATTGAACCATAGTGAGCAAAGTTATAATTTTTCTCGAAATTTTCGAGTAAAATTTCAATGAAATTCTTAACTTTGTAAATTTTACTGTAGTGATCAGTTT